CCCCGCGGCGCGGTCGCTGCCTGCCACTCACGCCGGCCACCTGGGCTCCTCTGGTGACTTTAATCAGCTCAGGCATTTCTGCATCTTGTTGTGCACTCTGGAGGTTCTTAGAGAAATCCTGCCAAGGAAATTTCCCCCGGCGAATCCTCGGGGCTGCTCCACGCCACACTGTCAGCAAGTACCTGCTGAAACAAGGATTTTTGGATTTTTAGCTCTTCTGTAGCGCCAGCCTTCTTAGGTACTTCTCGCGACCTTCAGAGGACAATGGGCACTTGCTTCAAAGATCCTGACAGTCTTCCAAGCCTTCTCATCTACTTAATCCACCAAAGAAGCCGGCAGTGTTCGCCTGGCAGCCGCAGGCTCTCCCGAATTCCCGGCTTGGAGTTAGTTCCGAGCAGTGTCACCTGCGAAGCCTTCCGCTAGGCAGCGTGTCTGTTCCCTGTTTAATTTTACTATGAAGTATCGCAAATTATGAGCGATCGGTGGATGCTAGCGTGTGGCTGTATTTGCCCTCAGATACACGAGAGGTTGGGCAGGTGCCGAGTGCTGCTCCGGCGTCCCTGTGCCGTGGTGCAGTGCCTGGGCTCGGAGCCCTGCCTCCACTTCGGATTCTGACTTCCTGCTAGTGCGCACCCTGGAGGCAGCAGATGTGCCTCAAGTAGTGAGACCCTGCCACCCACACGGGAGACCTGGGTTGAACACCCAGCCCTGGCTGTTGCAGGCGTCTGGGAAAAGAGCCAGCAGGTGGAGGACATCTCTCTCTGCCTCTACCTTTTTTTTTTTTTTTAATTTATTTTTGATAGGCAGAGTGGACAGTGAGAGAGAGAGACAGAGAGAAAGGTCTTCCTTTTTGCTGTTGGTTTACCCTCCAATGGCCACCGCGGCCGGTGCGCTGCGACCGGCACACCGCGCTGATCCGAAGGCAGGAGCCAGGTGCTTCTCCTGGTCTCCCATGGGGTGCAGGGCCCAAGGACTTGGGCCATCCTCCACTGCACTCCCTGGCCACAGCAGAGAGCTGGCCTGGAAGAGGGGCAACCAGGACAGAATCCGGCGCCCCGACTGGGACTAGAACCCGGTGTGCTGGCGCCGCAAGGCGGAGGATTAGCCTAGTGAGCCGCAGTGCTGGCCACTGCCTCTACCTTTTAAGAAAATGTCAAAAAAATTAAGAAACCAAGAAGTCGCATCACAGGCGCTCCTGAGTTTTACCGTCCCGATTTCCTTTTCTCTGTCCTCCTTTCTTTCCAAAAGGGACTACAGTCCTGAAATTCTAACCTTTATTTTGTTCTTTATAAAGATGTATTTTATTGATCTGACGCAGTTACAGTGGCCGGAGCTGCAGTGTAGTGGGTAAAGCTGCCTCCTGCAGTGCCAGCATCGCACACGGATGCTGGTTCGAGTCCCGGCTGCTGTGGCCTGGGAAAGCCGTAGAAGATGCCCAAGTGCCTGCCCCTGCACCTGCATAAGAGACTTGGCAGAAGCTCCTGGCTTCGGGTCGGGGCAGCTCTGGCTGTTGTGGCCACTTGGGGAGTGAATCCATCTCTGTCTGTCTGTCTGTCTCTCTCTCCAACTCTGCCTTTCAAATAATAAGTAAATAAGTCTTTAAAAGAAAAAAAAGTGGAGCAGCCAGGACTTGAACTGGCGCCCGTATGGGATACCCACACTGCAGCCTGAGGCTTTAATCCACTGTGGCACAGTGCTGGCCCCTAACCTTCCTTTTTTCCAAGTCTTCTGTTTACGTATCTATATCCACAAATAGCAGTGTGTGTGCTGTGCAAAACATCGGAAACAGGCAAAAAGGAAGCCCTTGGCATAGTAGAACAAATGACACAAGGCAGGGAGTGTAAACCCGTTGTGCTGTTACTTAAATATTTGGTTCCTTTTTACATTCCAGAGGTGAGTGAGACCTGATCAGGAGGGGCAGGTGTTGTGCAGCCGTGGGTCAAACTGCCGCTCCGATGCCTTCACTCTGGTCCAGGGTACCAGGGAGGCAGCAGGTGATGACCCAGTACTTGGGTTCCTGCCACCGGTGTGGAGTCCTGGATTGAGTTCCTGGCTCCTGACTTTGGCCCGGCACAGCCCTGACTATAGCCCTTGACTGGGGAGTGAACCAGCAGGTGGAACATCTTAATCTCTGTCTCACCCTCTTTCACTGTTCAGATATGACTGGTTAAACATGTAACCGAGGACTTTAGCATTTAGAGACTTGGACGGTTACAGAAAATACAGGAGGTGGTTTCTAAAGGAAACACTCTGCTTCCCCACCCAAGCAGGTTCTTGGCTACAGTAGAGAACACGGTGTTGTGAGAGGCTTGGGATCACAGGCAGCCCGCCCCAGGCACCCCCTCCTTGGCGGCACAGAGGACTTGGGCTGCAGCGTGGTGTGGAGGTGCTGTTGGGAGTGGCTGTGTCCCCAGGACAGTTCGGCTGTGGGCCTGGTTCCGGTCAGGAAGTAGGGCTGGTTGTCGAGGACACAGGTGTCCTGTGTCACTAAGTCACGAGAACACGGGGTTGTGGATCTCTTCTGGACGGGGAATGGAGGGCCTAGGGTGGCCAGCGTTACTTCGTGTGTCACGGGACTGGATCCTGAGAGATGAGAGGTGCTTTGCGTTAAGAAAACGAGGCTGGGATGGGTGCGTAGCGGAGTGTAGGCTGGATCCGGTCATCTCACACCTTTTTGTGTATTAATCGGCCATTTGCGTCCTGGTTGTCAGCTGGGGTTGGACGTGGCTCGGTTGGCTGTGACAGTTCATCCCTGCCTGGCTTACGGCTCCGAGCACATGGACGCTTCAGTTGCATAGCAACCCCAGTGTGGAGAGCCCATCTTTTCTTCACGGCAAGGCTGCCGGAGAAACGACAGCTGGACGTGCTTGCGGCCCCGGCGATGGCTTTTCCATTGGCCGTGGGGGTGGTTCTGCTGCCCACCCCTCTCACAGCCCCGCGGTGTAGGAAGTGGTTGAGATGGTGCGGACGGTACCATCTATTTCCTCTTTATTCCATGTAGAGTAAAATAAATGGGAGTGCTGTTTAATGCATCACCTCATTTCATATTGCATTTGCCAAGAAAGTGCAATTTTATTGAACATTAGGATTGAATTCTTAACTGAGTAATCAATTTGAGTAGTAAGTTAAAATGCCTTCTATTAATGGACAGCGGCCACCGTTAATCAGAGTTACAGTAGATGAACAGTTGTCAGCGTTTATGCTAATGGCACTTATAAACCATAGGGTTATGAATTGCACTTTTTAATTCCATATTTCTCAACAGTTTAATATTTTTTGCGTGAGGGTATTGATTGTTCGGTCCCTTTGCCTGCTGCTCGGAGATGTCGGGACGCCAAGTGACACTTCCACGGTGATGACAATACCACCTTCTGGTGTTGCACACTTGGCTGTGTGTCAGAATAGATGGAAACAGCTCATTTGTTCTGGTGCTCTACTGTTTAATTTGAGCTGGTGTGTGACTAAAGCAAGACGAATAGTATTTTTAATGAAACCGTTTAATAACCGCTGGTAGCTCGGAGTCGAAAGCTTTGGAAAAAATGCAGTTAAAGGATGGCGAGATGTAAACAGAATCAGCTTCAACCTCACTGACTCGATTCATTCTGCTTGCAGGCTCTCGTCACCTTAAATGGTTTTGAACCAATGAAGCTGTGTTCCCTTAGAGAGACGGACAGCCCATCGTGTGAACTGTAGTTTGTGGGCAGATCTATATTGGTGAGTTATTGTGAAATATCTCCAGGTAAAAGTTCCGTTTTCTCAAATCCCCCTCGGAACGTGTTTTCAATTAGTTGATGGCTGTGGATGGCCGACAGCCTCTGGGTGTTTCGCTGGGATGTCTTCACGGCAGGATCGTATTGATTGCCTTTCAATTAATGCATCTGGTATTTTCATTTATCAAAAGCAAAATACATGTAATTAACTCTGAAGCAATATAGTTCAGTGTAAAGTGGTTTTTGCTGCTTCTGCTGCTATAGAGATAAGTCAACGGAAATTATACTACAAGGAAACTCAAATCGGAATGGAAATAGTATTACGACTCTGACATATTAATTAAAAAGAGTAAAAATGAGTGAGAGAAATGGTCTCCTGCCACCCCAAGTCACTCGTAACATGGTAGATGGACGTCTTTGGGGAAGCAAGCCGCCTGCTGAATGATGGCTGCTAGTTAATCAGTGTAGTTTAGGCTCAACAGCGATTTTTCTCTAGAGGAGCGGATGGGGAGCGTGGGTGTCGGCCAAGGTTGAGAAAGTTGACTGGTGATCACTCCCCCCCCCCCCCCCCCCAGCCAGGTTTGGGAGTTCACCTTTCAACATGCCTTTAGCCATTTTTCATAAAATGTGGATTTTACTCAGAATCACGAAGTGGCAGCTTTTCTGGTGGGATTGATTTTTATTTATAAGCATATTGCTTTTTACAAAAGCTAACAGTATCATTCAAAAGTAAGAAAAGACATGTGCGTAAACATCAAGCCTACTCTGAGTCAGACCCTGTGGGGCGGGGCTAAGCCCTGCTCCGAGGAAGGTGAGGGTCATCGCCCTGGGCCTGGTGTCTGGAGTTGCTGAAGACAAGGAGCCTTGGAGTTCAGCACTGCTCCATGGGCACCGATGCTGATTGCCCTAGGGGGCCGAGCCTTGGCTCAGGCTGATCCCAGCCGGCACAGTGGCCTGTGGACCGGGAGAGAGTCTTGGGTACCTTCCTCCTTTTCCCCTGGAGCAGGGCCACCTGCCCCACACCCAGGCCCCCCAGACAGCACCCCTGCTGGGTGACCCTGGGCTGGAAGCCTGGGTGGGCTCCAGGAACCCCTCCAGCAGGTTGAACTTGATGGACACATTGAGACCTTCCTGAGGGCTGCATCAGGGCTTGCGGGGCAGGTCACAGGTCACAGAGCCCGCATCTGGTTACTTACGGGGGTCAGGGGGTCCCTCAGGAACCCTGGGGCAAGTAAGGATCTGGGCTGCGGAGAACGGGAGACTAGGGGGGGTTGTTGGCCCTTGGGGAAGGGCACTCGCAGCCTTGCTCATCCGTTCTGCCTTTCCAGGCCGACCTCTTTCTTTCCTGGCCTTGCCCATTGTCTTAGAGACACCTGTGTGCTAGAACCTGCCCAGGATGCCCAGGCAGTGTAGCCATGTTCCTGCCCCGGCAGCGGGGCGAGCACTTTTTGTCCTGATGATGCTCCTGTGGACCCCACTTCTGCGCCTGACGCCTGAGCTCTGCCATCCAGACGGGCGCCTGCGCCTCACCTGTCTCCCGGAGCAGCTTGGCTGTGGCCCTGCGGCCTGGCTGCGCCCCAGCACGCAGGTTGACTCCCTCGGACCCTGCTGGCAGGGTTCTCAAGCTGCCCAGAAAGCTGTCTTTGTGGATCTCTTGTGCTCCGAGCTGCAGGTGACGGAGAGTGCCAGGTGGGGGCCGAAACAAGGCCTGGATGTTGATTTCTCCCCAGGAGCTCAGGGATTTTAGAAACCTGTAATGACCTCATAATGGCAACCTTTGGGTCACTGGAACCATGTCTGCCTGGCTGTTGTCACCTTAGTGGTCCTGAGTGTGTCCTAACTTCATAGTGTTCCCTTCTTGTCGTACCAGAGTTGATAGTTTGGTTTGTGGCCTTGGCTTTTAAGAACTTCACAGCTTCTGCATTCTGTTCCCCACGAGGCATGTTTTGTCGTGAGTGATGGCAGGCCACCTTTGGCTCTGCTGCGTCTCCACCCGCCTTGACTCTTGGCTGTGCGTTTTGTCGCGGTGGGAAGCCGGGGCACCTGCCTGGCCAGCGTCGGTTTTGGTGGTCGCAGTTCCTCTTGGCCCATTTTGTTCTTAAGCAGCAGCAGCAGCAGCAGCGCCCGGGTACCTTGGAATTTCACAGAAGTGCCAGGGAACAAGCACTTCTGGTTAAACGTCTCGGGGTGAACGGAAGTGCCGGTCAGAACCCCCAGCTTTGACTCCGTGACACGGTGGTGGGAGAACAGCTAAGGCTGTGGCTTCCCAGAGCCGGGATGGGGGATCCGCTGCCCACGCACACTGCCTCATTCTGACAGATTGCGCTTGACAAGGCCCCTGGAGGTGGCAGGGTGCTGGGGACTCTGCACTTACTGGTGGACGAGGCCTTGCTGCCCTCTGCCGAGGGAGCCGGGCTGGCGTGGTGTGCAGGCAGGGAGTGTGGCCTTGGAGGTCACTGACTGACCACTGGGCTACTGGCCCGTTCCCGGCAGGGCCGATGCAGAGGGAAAGCATCGTGCTGCCTGTAGACTGAAACCTTGGGGTCTCGTGTTGATTGTGGAGCAGGGGACGGGTCTGGCCGTGGTCACGCTGGCCCCGGCACGCTGGCCTGTGTCCTGGGCCTTGGCATCAGGAGTGCTCAGCCACACAGGGCATCATCCCCTGGCTTTTGCTCTGACCTGTGACCCTGCTCCTGTTTTCCCACCAGTGGCAGTGACAACGCAGGGGTGAGGTGCAGGGCCAGGAGGCTGGGACTGGGCAAGGACACCTGAGGTGCTGGAGCCGCCTCGCGGTGGGGCCAGGGTCAGGGCACAGCCTGAGCGGGAGCTTCTTGTTTGTTTATTTTTATTTATCTATTTGAAAGGCAGTTAGAGGAGAGGCAGAGAGAGAGAGAGAGAGAGAGGTCTTCTATCCACTGGTTCACTCCCCAATTGGCCGCAATGGCTGGAGCTGCTCCGATCTGAAGCCAGGAGCTTCTTCCGGGTCTCCCAAGTGAGTGCAGGGGCCCAAGGACTTGGGCCATCTTCCACTGCTTTCCCAGGCCATAGCAGAGAGCTGGATCGGAAGAGGAGCAGCCGGGACTGGAACTGGCGTCCATGCCGGCGCTTCAAGCCAGGGCGTTAACCGGCTGCGCCACAGCGCCGGCCCCATGAGCTCTTGCTTCTTGTTTGCATTCTAGTCCCAAGCCTTTGGGATGCTGGCTGTGCTTTGGAATCCAAGCATGTGGGAGCCGCACTCCCAGGTGACGTGGAAGTGTTGTTGGTCCAGCCTTCGTCCTTAAGAAGCTCAGAATCCGGGTCAGGCTCTGGCCCAGCCCTTCTTGTTGTGAGTGGTCGGGAGTCACACGGGGTCCAGGCCCGACTCCTCCCTGGGTGTCTGGGTGTTAGGGCAGGTCTCCTCCTCCCTCCTGCCCCAGCTGCTCTTCCTAATCAAAGTGGCTTGGCTGAGTAGGGAGGAACTGGAGCAGCAGGAGGTCTAGGTTTTCCCTCTGCCTCCTGGGTCTGCTGGCCGGGGTGGGACTGCTGAACTCTCTGCCTCCTGGAGGGTAGGGCACACCGCCTGCCCGGGGCCTGGGAGTTGAGCTCCCACTGAGCACCGGGCAGGGCGTGACCTGGCTGGGTAGTGAAGAGCTCAGTGCTCCTGGGATCTGCTCGGCAGCACGCGGCGGACTGAGGTTCAGGCTCTGTTGCTGTGACCCCAGACGGGTGGCCGCCCGTCCAGAAGCACCGCGGCGGTGTGACTCGCTTGTGACTTCCTGGGATTGCCGCTGTTCGCAGAAGATCATCTTCTCAGGTGTGTAATGGCGCCAGACCCTGCCCCCGCCGTGTGAGACGGCAGCGCTGGGGTCCTTGGGTCCTTGCCCCTGTGGGTGTGGCTGCAGGCAGTGCTGCTGCATAGAGAGGGTCCCTCTGCCGGGGAACCTGAGCAAGCCCCCTGCAGAGGCCTGGCAGCAGGGGTCCCTGCCCGGCTGTGGCCCCTCTGAGCTCAGGAATGGCTGTCCCATTGGGACCGACCCGAGGCAAATGACAGTGACCACTCAGTGCCTTTGTCCGCAGGCTTGAGTGTATGGGGAGGGAGGGAGGGAAGAAGCCAACAGAGGCCACACCACAGGGAACCATGCTTTCTGTTGACCACCCCGTCTCTGGTCTTGGTGACGGATCTGTGAGTGTGCAGGGTGGGGGCAGAGAAATGGGTTTTTCTGTGGAAGTGCTGGGGATCGAGGGTCACTGTGTGTGACTAATAGAAGAGGAAAAGGTTATTTCTTTCTGTAGATTTTTTCTTTGGTGTTATCTAGTTCCTCTGCTGGTTTTATTGCCACGCTTAGAAAGTGTTAGGCTGAAAACTTTCTTTTGAAGTCATGGTCTTGGTTTCAGGCGGTTCTAGTTGTTTGTGGGAGAACATGCACACTGCCTCCCGGAGCTGGTAGGGGGCGCGGTTTGTCAGGGTTCACTTTTGAGGGCCATCAGTGCTGTCAACAGGTGGCCACACCCTCAGCTACCAGTGCCGCGGGAGTGATGTTCAGGGGCTGGCGTTGTGCACGGTGGGTTACGGTGATGCCTGCTATGCCAACATTTTGTACGAGCATCAGTTAGAGTCCTGGCTGCCCCACGCCAGCTCCCTGCCAATGCACCTGGGAAGGTGGTGGAAGATGGCTCCAGTGCGGGCCCCTGCCACCCATGTGGGAGACCCAGATGGTGTTGAAGCTCCTGGCTTCAGCCACTGAGGCCATTTGGGGATGGAAGATCTTTCTCCTCTCGCTCTCTCTCTCTCTAACTCTGCCTTTCATATAAATAAAATGCGTCTTAAAGTTATGTTTAAAATTTCATTTTATTTGAGAGAGAGAGCTCCCAATCTTGTTCTTGCCCCGAATGCCTGTAACAGCCCCCAATTGGGGCTGTAGCCGGAACTCAATCCCAGTCTCCCACGTAGGGCGGGGACTCAGTTACTCCCCTGCTGCCCCCCTTGATGTGTTTGATCTGGAAGCTGGAACCTGACTTGGAGGCAGGACTGGAACCCGGGCGCTCCGGTATAGGTCGCAGCTGGAAACTCAGCTGCTGAGGCCAGCGCCCGCCCCTAAAGACATGCTGGCTGGAGGCACTGTGCTGCCTGCAGCAGTGGCCCACCTGGTGTTGAAAGATCCTGGGTGCTCGCCTTTTTTTCGTGACCAGTCCTCTCCCGACGATTGTTTTTAAAGCAGAAACTCAGATGTGTTTTCTAAAGTTGACCCTTGGGGATGCCGTGGAGAACTTGTCGTCCTGGGCGGAAGGAAGGTGTGTCCCAGCCTGGGGTTTTCATCTGGGGTAGAGAGGGGTGCTGCGGCCTGTGGCTTCTTTCCTCACTGGCTCCCACCTTGTCTAACACCAACAGATCAGGTTTGCTTTATTGATCGATCGATTCATTTACTTTCATTACTTCATTTACTTTTGGCAAACTCTGGCAACTTCCACCTGGCCTCCTGCTCTTAACTATAAGACTTCTTAACTATAAGACTTCTTTGTTAACTGGATGCTCTTGGAATTCATTCTTCCCGTGTGGCGATTATGCTTCCCTAGACTTGCACCAGTTAAGGATAAATAGCAGGTTTTAGAGGAGATGGCTGTGAACGTCGTCGTGTTTGTGTGTGTGCTTCCTTGAGTGGACGCCTGTTTGAGTTGGTAAAACAGAACGTTTTTATCTACTTATCCCAAGACGCATTCCGAACAGTGGCATTGATACATATTTCATAGCGTGATTTCTTTAGGCTCACTGCGCAAACAAATCAGTTTCTCGGCAGTGTACTGTTTGAAAGAAACAGCAACAACCTGTTAATTATATATGGCAGAAGATAGAACGTTCGGGAAAAATGTGTGTACGTGCAAGGGTAAAGACACACGGCCCTTGGATGCACAGTTCAGAGCATCTGCCTGTAGAACGCACTCGGTTTCTGGAGCTGTGTGCTTGCAGGAGGTGACCGCAAAGGCTCCCACGCCGTCCCTGAGGTGGGCCTCTCTTCACCAGAGCCATCTCTCAGTGTAGATTGTGGAAAGCCGGAAAGGGCGGCTCAGGGATCCGGTTCCTTGCCTTGTAATGCGACACCTTTTCCCTGCGGGCTATACCTTGCCCCCTCAAAGGAACGCTTTGTTTTCCTGGGAGGGTGTGACCTGCTACTCGGGCCAGGCAGATCACTTTCCTGTGGGAGGGAACGCTGGGGGCAAGGCCACAGAGAGGGTGGCAGAGTCCCTGGGCCTCGGGCAGGGTTGCCCCTGCCCGCTGGGGAACTTGGCCAGGAGCTGGGCAGTGCCAGGTTACTGGAAAGCCTCTCTGTTCAGATGTCCAGCCCGCATGCTGACTGAACATGGACTTCCAGGAAGTCTGGAAGATTAAAAAATGCTGGGTAGGAAGTACAGGGGCGGGGTAGGGTCCATGGCCTGGGAGACCTTGGATCTAGCTGCTATTGGCCATTTCTCTCTTCTGTGTCTCTGTCACCACCATCCCCACAGCCGCTGTGTTCCCTGAGTACAAGGGGTGGCCCCTGTCCCTTGTGACCCCATGTTCACTGTTAGCTCAGTACCCCCAGTGGTAGCTTTGGGATCCGCAAGGAGGGAAGGCCTATACTCCCGGGAATGGAGAGTCCTACCCGCACTTCTGGGGAAGAAAAGTCCTTGTCAAGGTCCCCGCCAGTGCCTAAAGGTCAACCAATGAGGGTCAGACCCGCCTCAACCTTTAACCCCCATGGCCCTGAATCTATAAAAGGAGCTCTCCCAATCTCTGGCTCCCTGCTCTGTTGGGACCGGGGAACCTCGCCTGGGAGCGGAATCCCAATAAAAGCTTGTGAATTAATCAGTTCCTCTGCACTGGACACCTTGCACCCAGACCAGAGCCCTCCCACCCCTCCCACCCCTCCATCCAGTGGAAGTCGGCAAGTGTCAGTGGCAAGGCTGCAGGGGCTGAGCTGTGCCTGCAGACCCTGGGGCTGAGCTGTGTGCAATGCGCCCGTGTCTCCTTGCTTTGCTGCGCATGTGCCCTGCACGTTAACGGTGACCCAAGCTGCAGTGGGGCCCTTTGACTGGGCTGTGCTGTGTTCTCATTGGCCGGGGCTTAACTCCGTCACTGGGGCGCTGTCCTTGGGCCCGCCTCCTGGATGAGGGCTGTGCCTCAGCTGCGCTGTTCAGAAAGTGCTGGGAGGCTGAGGTCGGCCTGATGCCCAGCCATGTCCCCGACCCCTGAGCACCAAAGCCCGGCTTGCCGGTGGATGCAGCCCCTTGAAGGGCCCGTGTGGCTGCTGCACGCGGGTGCTCCCTGCGTGCGTGACTGCAAGTCCCAGCCCCACAGGAAGAACCTGGGCACTGATGAGAGTGCAGTACTCCAGGCTTTTCCAAAATTCCCTTGAAATTCACTTTGACTCCCTAATGACCCCTGAACCGCGGCACTGGGCTGGGCTGGGCTGGGCTGCGACCCCTGAACCGTGACGCTGGGCGGGGCTGCGGCTTCCTCCAGGATTTGTGCGCTGAACCGCCAGGGCAGCACCAGGAAGCCTTCTGTGTGTGCTGTGATCCCAGCAATGGAGGCAGCCCAGCTCTTTGGGGTGGAGCTGGGTCCCCTCACTCCGCAGCCCAGGGCTCTGACACTTCTTCCATGGTGGCCCTTGGCCTTCTCTGAGGGCACTGACCTTGGGCAACCTCAGCCCCTCTGAGTTTAGTGCTTGGATGTCACCATCACCTCCAGGCTCACTGATAGCAGGACATGGTTTAGCCTAGGGGGTGGGCGGCAGGGAGTGCAGTCACCTACCCTGTGCTCTGTGCTGTGTTGCTGTTGCCGCGCCTCCTTGCTGGTTAGCCTGGCAATGGTGTTTGTGCTTATTAACCAAGCCGGGAAGAGTTCAGGGTGCCCTGAAGCCTTTAGTTGTTACCTTTCTGTGCCAGCAGTGGCCGGGTGCTGGCGCCTTGGTATTGCGCCTGAGGCTCCTACCCTTGTGCCCAGGTATGTCCGGCTGGCTCAACACCTGTTTAATAACACGGATCCTTCCCTGGGAACCTGTCCCCCACTCTCCTGTCAATCACTTTTGAGGTCCCTGCAATCTGCCTGAACATTGAAGTGTGACCCAGGGCCTGAGACCGGCCCAGCCTTCTTGTCCCCTCGTCCATGGCGAGGATGAGCTCACCGGGCCTGACCCTCCAGCCATGCTGGGAGAAGCCGGGAGCATGGCCACTTACATGAAAGGCTGTTAGATTCAGGTCACTGCGTTTGGACTCTTGCATTCTATGGCAAAGTCTAAAAATGCAGATTTGTAGCAACCAATGTTAATGAATTCAGACTGTTTGAATTTCACACTGAATAATGGCTGGAATTATCAGAGCCCAAGGCTTGTGAGATCCTGGATCGCGGAACCTTTTTTCAAGATTAAATTGGTGGAATGAGGCAATATCACTTTTATTAACAGTCCTGGCCGTAGAAGAAACACACCTATCAGAGTGGGAAAATTTGGTAAGAATTGTGGTAATAACCAGCCATTTTGGAACAGGTAATCAGTAAATTTCAAATGTAGCACCTCAGCATCTGCATTTAAAATGCAGCATTGCCCCCATAGCTACTGAGTGCACTTACCTTTGTCCCCCAGGGCTTCCTCTTCTCTGCGTTAAACATATTCTATTTAAATGCAGATTTGTGATTTGCAGTCTAGGAAAAGAATTCTGGAAGAATGGGAAGAAGGCCTGGTCTGCATCCATTGACTTAATTTTATATCCTGTGTTTTCTCCCGTTCTTCCTCCCCATCCTCACCTCCCCTGAGACTTGCTCAGGGTTTCAGGGGATAA